TTTTTTTTTTTTTTAAAGTTATTTTTGGATATTAGGAGTAAAAACAGATAATAAAAACAAATGCATAGCAAACTTCTGCTCAGACGATCATGAAATCACGTAAATAACGTGAATAACATGAAAACTTTCAACGAAATGATATCACGCAGCTGTTTAAGTAAAATAATCGCTTGTGATTGGCAAAAAAGGAAAATACTTTTTTCCCATCCAGTTTATAGCATAAATATCAATGACCAAATTATCAGTGAATAACCTCTGACCCATGAGTTAAATACACCTGCAATAATCAAATTTGTAAATAAAATAAAAGTGGCTTATGACTCACAAGTCAAACATACATGTACTGCTCAGATTGAGGAATAATATGCAAAAATATAAAAAGAACTGAGTCAAAAATTTTGCATTAGTCATATATATCAACTGATAAGAGAACTGTAAATAAAGTACTGGAGTTAATAAGATAGCAAACAGCTAAGCAAATGATAAATATGATAATATTAGTTTATCAGTCAGACAGTAATATTAATCAAAATAATTTGATATCAAGTAATCTCAGTAGTCATACTCACTGGTAAATAAATAATCAGTGATATTAATCAATTTTATGTAGTCAAATAATCAAAAGTCAATTATTGTAAGATCAATTAGTGAATATGTGATCAGTTTGATAAATTATGACTAATACAAACTAATATATTTTTATGCAGTAAAATATAATAATTGCTAAATTAATAAATTAATCAAAACAATGAATCGATATTACAATAAATACAATACAAGTTAAACAAATACTAATACATGTTGTTTAGTTCAATTTTACATGTGAGCTGTATGCGAGTTCTGTCTGTTTGATTTCTTTACAATCAATCGATTTGAGTGAGCTAACACAACACTGTGTGTGTACATATATGTGCGCATGTGTGTATAATATAAATATGCATATATAAGTATATGTATATATTAGTATAAATAATAAACTAAGGAATATTAATATAAAAATTACTTAAATCAAAAGTTAAATCAATTAATTAATGATTGATACGAATAAATGAAAGAATAGAGAAATATGCAAATTATAAATGAGAAAAAAAGATAATATGCAAATTTTTGCTTTCCTCAAAAAAGTGAATTAATAGAAGAGAGAAGACTGAATACCTGAATGAATGAATGCATGGCTGGAGGCAAGAGGAGGGAGCAAATCAACTAAATGTTTGCTATTTTACAATTTGATAATACCACTACTTACCTTACCATCTCTATTTGGGGATAGTGTAGTATAGATGCTCAGAACTTTCTTCAAGGTTGTCCACTTACACATTCTTTTATCTTTTCTCTTTCTACCGTTTTTCTTTTTTTCTTACAATACCATATTTTTATTCTACCGTATTCCATCTCGTTTTTTTTATTTATTTTTTTTATTTCATTGCTTCTACACATTTTATCTACTGTTATTGTTCTAATATTTCTAATCTTTATGCCTATTTTTCTTGCTTCTTTTCTTACTTATTACTGTATTTCTTTCTTTACTATCTCCACATCTTTTTCCACTCTTTACTATTTATTTATTTCTTTTCTATTCTCGTTTTACTCTTTTTACCATTAAATTAATCTGTAATTTTTCTCTTCCTACCATTTATTCACACTTTTTCTTTCACTACCGTATCCATACTCTACTATTTTTCTGTACTTTCTTCGCTTATTCATATCCTCTCTTTATCATTATGCCTTTTTTCTCTTCAACTACAGTATTTTTCATCACTGTGCATCTTCCCTCCACCATTACAGTATTCTACACACCGTAATTTCTGGAAATCTTTTTCTTTCTACAATTTCTGATTTTAGTATTTGTACAGGCATTAGTATTAAACTCCTTGAGGTTCACAAGGTCATTCATCCATTCATCCATTAAATCATTCATACCCTTCAAAATCATTCTGTACATTTTTCAAGTGCAATTGTTATCAGAAATAGCATTTTCAACTCTTACCATAATTACTATCAAAACCGTTCATTGTTTCCTAATTTGCATATTCTTAAAATACTCAAAATCATAATAAACTGTAGACATTAATTTGAATAAGTTTAATTTCAAAATAAAGTTATGCCAGTTTTCTGAACTAAAAAACCAGTTTTTTGAAAGTTATGCCAGGTTTCTGAAGTAAAAAAAACTCGATCACATTGTTTATTTTTTAAATTGTGTAGAGAGTAGACTTGAAATTTGAATTTATAAATGTGTAGCTTAATTTTTTAACAATTTATTAGATAAATCTGAAATATTATAAAGAAAATTGAATTCCATATTTCCTTGGTATTAATTCATTTGCAACCAAATTTGATTAACTTTTTGTAAAAAATTCGCCAAAATTGCCTAAAATTAGTAGATATTGCAATTTCTAAACAATACATTGGCACTGAAAATAAAACTCAAAAATCAATAAGAATTGGAATACTTAAAATATATTTAGCCTTTTGTACCAAATAATATTTGATATCTCTCACCTGGAATCAATTTGTAAGACCTTCATTGCCGCCCAGCGACGAAAAAACTTTTGATCACATGAAATGTCTTCTGCGAACATGAAAAAGTGATTCTGTCCAGAATCATTATTTCGATTAAATGCAATCAAAGAGGCTATTTTCTCACACTTAAGTACAAAAGCATGAAAACATTGTCAAAAACAAATGACTAAACCTTAAAATTACAAAAACTGCTATTTATATCGCAGAAGATATTTTAATGTCCTAATTTTGTATTCTGAATGGGTTCTTTTTGATTACAATTTTTCATTAAAATCAGTTTGAAACCGAAAGTTAATAAGTGAGGTCAAATTTTTCAACTTTGCGTGTCATGCCATAGGAATGTATTTAATATGTATAGAGTATGAATTAGATCAGTTATGGAAACCAATATAAATACCCCGAATCTTTCAATAAAAACTGTTCTAAAAGATCAATCCCTTTGTCACCATCACGTATTAATATTATTGTGTATCAATAATTTACCGATCAAAATTAAATTTTTAGTGATATATTCAAACCTCCAACAGAAATCTGTTCTCAAATATTCACAATCATGCAAAGTGAAATCAATATCAAAATTGTAATGCACTTGACGGACGACCACAGAAATTTGAGGTTCAATTCACGTTGAAATCTAAACTTATCACGCTCTCACTTCATCTTATTAAACAACGCAAGATTAAAGTTAGTTTAGACTGAGAAACCTCTTCCTTAAAGAATATCACATCTTCCTTTAACATGTATTTTTTTATGTGATTTTCTT